GATTTCGTTTGTATGAAGCATTCAGAATAGGCCAGTCCATAGAGAAAGCAGATTAGTGGTTACCAGGGACTTGGGGAGGAATGGGGAGTGACTGCTTAGTGGGTACAGGGTTTCCTTTTGCAGAGATGAAAATGTTCTGAACTAGATAATGGTGATTTGCACATTATTATGAATGTTCTAAAAGCCACTGAATTGTACCCTCTTAAATGTTTAAAATGGTAAATTTTGTGTTAAATGTATTTTATCACAATAAAAAATATTGCTGTGGTGAAATTTTATGTCGGTATTATATTTTGGTTTCTGATCGCTCAAGTTAGTAACTATTTAAAAACTTAATCTTCTCTGTTATGTTTTATTTAGGTAAAATGATCCATTCTATGGTAGCCCATTTGGATGCTGTTACAAGTCTAGCAGTAGATCCTAATGGAATCTACTTGATGTCTGGAAGTAAGTCTGAACTTCCTGTACTGCCCACAAATTTTATAATAGAACTGTTACTCAGTAACATTTTTCATTTATTCTTTTACAGGCCATGACTGTTCTATTAGATTGTGGAATTTGGACAGCAAGACATGTGTGCAAGAAATAACAGCACATAGGAAAAAATTAGATGAATCAATTTATGATGTTGCTTTCCATCCATCAAAAGCATATATTGCTAGTGCGGGTGCTGATGCCCTTGCCAAAGTATTTGTGTGAATCAACAAAAACTCATCATAACAACAGATTCGCTTGGACACAGAGGGTCTGCATCACTGCCATCAAAAATATTACTGATATGACACTACATGTGATCTGCCTGATGAAGGCTATATTTGGGGCAGGCATAAATTGGTGGAAATCACATCTTAACATCAGGCTCATTAATTTAATTGTAATTACTGTATTTCGTGGGACAAAAAAAGGACTCCATTATTTGTGGCCTGTACTGGATATGAACTGAGCGTATGTCTGTCTTTTAGGTATCTTTAAGCCAGTGTGGAGTCTGATCTTACAAAAAGACTTTTATTTTGGACTCTGTGTGCTGCCTTAGGGTTAGGAATGTGGTGCTCTTGTTGGGGGGAAGTGAGCTCCAAGAGTAGCTTTTTTTCATCTCTTAGTGATCTTCTGTTTATCAGTTGAATGCCACAGATACCCTTTTAAACTTATTTTGCTTTAAAAAAAATAAAAAAGAAAATTTAACTTAAAATATTTTAGCATTAGTTGCACAAAATGTTTGGATAAAATTCTAGTTTTTATAAGTCTTTTTATATATTTAGCCTGTCACAACAGTGCTCAAGATTGTATTGAAGTTTTTCTGCATTATACAACCCTGAAACACAGAGATCTCACTGACCCGCTGCCGTGTAAGCACACTCTTTCCTTCTTTTGCGTAGTACAGCTCAGCTAAGTCTTTCCATAAAGATGCTAAATCACCTTCAACATCACATAACTGTCTTCTTAAACCAAGGACTATTAAGTGTATTAAAATGAAACGGTGGGGTTTAGTACTCCAAATGAACTCTTAAAAAAGAAAAAAAAAACTAATCTTGGCATCCTATCACTATGTGATATTTTGTACATCTTACTGTATTTACAAGTTTATTTATCAAGGATTATCCATCTTGCTAATAGCCTATTATTTATTTCACTTTTTGTTGGTCTTTATATCCTTTTATTAATGTGCTAAAGGAACCTGTATATCTATTTTGGAACTCTTTGAATAGTCTAAAATAGACTAAAAATGGAGTATTTTATAGTTTAAGTTACAAACCAAGGTGACTCCCCCCAGTTACATATCTTGGTTTACCATGATTCCAGAGAAAACTATCTTGTTTTAAAATATTTGGAGTAAAATTTTATTTGCATTACAAATAGGATACAAAAATAGTTGAATCAGGATACGGAAATCTGCTGTGTTTGGACTAGTTATCCCTGTTTTATTTTTTCAGATGTGCTTAATTTTATGGTGTAACTAAAGATTTTGTTTGTGTAATGCATGATTAAGACAATAAAGTATTTTTTCTAGTCTTCCAAAAAACTTTTCTGATCAGTTTGCGAGTTTTGATGAGTTTTGTAAGGTTTTTGTTTTACAAACTATGAATCAGCAAATTTTTAAGATTGTACCACATAGCGAACGTACAGCTGTTGAAAAATAATGTATATAAAATGCATATAATAAATATTAAATTGTGTACCTGTATGTTACTGTTGGCTACATTATTTTGTGTTGAATAATAAAGTGCAATACTTTACTCTCCATTAAAGTAGGAAATGGAGATGATTTCTCAGTGAGTCCTTCATTTTTATGCTGTTCTTTTAAACTTTATACTGTTTATTGATACTCTAATAAGATTAGAACAGTTAATACTGTTAAGAATGCCTTTCTAAGTATTTCACCCAATTTGGGGATTTAAAAATCTTCTATTGAAGTAAGTTAGATAATTCAAAATAACCAAAAAACAAAACCAGCAGATATGCAGTTTTAAATCATTTCCTTAAGATACCCTATTACTTTATTAAATCTGAATTTCAATTAATAGTGTTGTCTTTCCTATCTAGCCAAACCTGTTTCCCACGGAAAAGTTCAGCAGAGAATAAACATTGCATTGTTCATTAATTAAAAGTTATCCTCATAAATGTTAAGTATTAATATCTTCAAACTTTTCCTTCAACAAGGTAATAATCCTTTTTCTTTGAAGGGAATTGCAAATGCAATTAGAAGGTAACATTAGAAAACTTAACGTGACAAAATTCTATTTGAATGCCTACTTCAAAAAAAAAGAAAATTACATTGTATGTACATTGAGAAATTCTGTCACCTACCATAAAAATCGAAATGTCAATTTTAGTCATTGCTGGTGAAACACTAAAAGTTTTCAGAAATTTTCTTAAAGTATTGTTTTTTTGGTTTTCTGAATTGAACATTCAACTTAATGAACAAATTAAAGAGGCATTTTTCTCTTCCCTCTTTTTTTTTTTTTTTAAATAATTTAGGAACAAGCTTTCCAAAGCTAGTATTGTTTCTGGCAGCTGTTCCAAGCCAATGCATTACTGTTGAACTGAAATGTGATTGTCATCATTGCAATGCATAAACATTCATCTTTTTTGAAATGTATTAAAACTGAAATGAATAAAAATAGTATATATGTTTATTTTTATCTACTTTGGCTGTATTTTCTCTACAATATTAAACATTTGGAAGAGACTAAAAGGATGCAAAAAGAATATCTTATTTGTGTGCTTCCATTTGTGACTTAATGGGAAATTATGAAGATTCATTTGACTATTAAATGGTGCTTTATACATAAAGTTTGAGTATTTTTATATACAAACTTTTTAATATGTCGACTTTCCCAATATTTAATCATATTCTGCTCTTTTCATATTTATTCATGTACTTTTTCCATATTTCAAAGTAAGTTATCCACTGAAGACCAACATCTCATTTAATGCATTAAGGCTTATAAATAGGCTAGCATAACAAATTTAGGCATGCTTGCAAAGTTGAATTATATCTTTTAAAAAATCCTTTTACTCTATTTTTAGCTGTTAACTCTATCTTGATTATGTTTAGTTTTAAAAAATAATTAACAGTAACTTAAATATAAAGTGTTCACTTCTACTCTCTTGCTGCTCTTTAAGTCAAAATATTAGCTTCCCTGGTTACCTCAAAACTTTGTTCTTTATAAAATTTTTTAAAGAGCTAATGACTAGAGGCTGGGTTTTCATTTAATTTTTTAAGGAGTGGTATTCTCAGCTGAAAGTTGTCTATTTATTGGGAAAAAAACATGTTAAACCCGTTTGTGTTGTTAAAATTCTCCTCGTTACATGAATCGGTCATATTTGTAGCTTTGTAAATGGTGGGGGCAGTGGCGGTCAGGGGAGTCATGACTTCCCATGTTCTCTTTGGTCAAATTTTTATGTAGTGTCAAAGGCAATTTCGGTTCTGCTCTCTGATACGTAAGCTTTTACACAAGCTGTAAAATTGTTAAAAGATTTGTTGGAGTATAAATTTTCCAACCAGTTAACACCTTTTTCAGGTCAACTGGTTGTAAACCATTTCAGATAGGATCAGTGTATGTGTGATGGGAAATAGAGTGTGCAGATGAATGAGACGATAGATCCTGTCCTTAGAGAAGACGGGCAGGATAAGATATGACAGCACTTCCGTCGGAGAGGAGAGTTCTTGGTGAGGTAATGATAGTTACATAAAGGGAGTTTTGATCACTTTTCTTAGGAACCAACTTCACAAGGATGTTTAAGTAAAAACACTATTAATTACAAAACAACTTTGTTGAACCAAGTAATCAACTGTTTAACCTGGTACTGGCTGTGCATAATGCCTAAAACAGTAGGCATTCAATAAGTAATTGGAACAGAAAATAAATATATTTAATCTTATTGCATGATTTTAAGAAAAAAACTCGGTCTTTCCACACGAAGTGGTTAATGTGTCAATAGAATTTTTACCATGCCCTAGGGGGAGACACTTGGAATAATAAGTAAGGGACCTTAGAATAATGGTCACTAGCAGTTTTATTGCTTAAATAGTCAAAGTAGAATATTCTTTCCTGCAGTTCTCCTCTTTGAAAGGTGTGCTTTTCTTTAAAGCTAAGTGTTTATAAGTGTAAGTAAAAATTTACCAACTTAATATTTTTTTCAATACATGGTTGACTTTTAGAGTATAAGCCAAATACATCAATACACGTATAAAATTAAGGCTATAAATAGAAAAATGCCAGGCAATTCTTCAGTCTTGTTCAGTGTGATATTTGTTGTTATTATGAAAGTACACTACAAAAGAGGCTTGATACCTAAATAGCTTCCATTTCGTCTGTAATTATAACTTTTAGTATGTTAAGTAAATTTAGTATGTTAAGTAAGATCTTAAAACCAGATTGTTGACTGGCTTTAAGACAACATCTACTTGGGTCAATATATATTTGAACTAAGTTGAGCTGTTTTCTGTTTGTTTCTCATTTTCCTTATATGTGTAATACAGAATTAGAGAAGGAATGTTGCTTTTGGTCTAAATATCAGCTGCTTTTATTGAACTATAGAATTTGCATATCTATACATTTAATATGCATGTTAAAATAGAACTCTTAAAATTATAATCTACGGTATCTCCTCTTTCCTGAGTTTCTAAGGTTCGTGATTATGAAGCCTCAGCAGAGTGTTTTGAACAATGGAGTCTGAACTGTAATTAGAAGGCAGCTTTAAATGAATGCTTACTTGCTTACATTTTTGCCATCTTTAGTATAATAGTTTTGTGTCTGATCTTAGTATGCTATATAGTATTTCAGTATTACTAAAAACAACTTATACATCCCCTTGCACTTTTTCTTTCAGTTGTCAAAATGTCACCATTATTGCTGGGATTCTAAGAAATCTCTACAGATGCCTCTGATGACATCAGAAACAATTGGTTCTAATCCTGTGAACTCTCTTGTGAAGAAAACATGCGACTCCTTTGGTTTAGAGGCCATATCTTTCAGGTCATCCAGAGGTGCCCAAGCCACACCAACAGAGAAGATGGTGATACCTACAATAGAAGTATTTTTAAGTCAATTAAAACCAAGTTCCAGCTTATGTATAAAATTACGTGTATATATTTTTCACACATTAGTACATAGTTGCAGACAAAACTGCCTTGTAATGCCTGAAGAACTAAATCCCCTGTACCAAATTGTTGGGCTGGTTTTAGCAGTAATCGTGATGAGAATGGCTAAACAGTTGGGTCAAAACCACAGGTTTTGCCATCAGTGCAGTTTACCACCTTAACAGAGATAAGTCATATGATCGCTGAAAGAAAAAAATAATTTGATAAAGTTTAACATCCATTCATGATAGTACACAGTAAGCTAGAAAGAGAAGGAAGCTTTCTTAACCTGGTATCTAAAGACAAGAACAAACCCTACAGCAAACATACTTAGCGAAATGGTGAAAACTACTCAGAGTTTGGCATGAGGAAGGACAACCTGCTATCATCACAATTAATTGTTATACTGGAGTCATAGCCAGTATAATAGAGCAAGAAAGAATGACACAGAAGATGGGATATATAAATGATGAAAGTTTTCTAAGGCTCTTGCCTTGTCTGGGGAACGGTGACAAGTCCTCTGTGAGTGATAATTGTTTCTCCCATTTCAGTATGTGTTGCATTAGCAAACTGGCCAATAGTAAGAAATTGACAGGGACTTCTCTGGTGGCGCAGTAGTTAGGAATCTGCCTGCCAATGCAGGGAGCACTGGTTCAAGCCCTGATCCGGGAAGATCCCACATGCCCCGGAGCAACTAAGCCTGTGTGCCACAACTACTCAGCCTGTGCTCTAGAGCCCGCGAGCCACAACTGCTGAGGCCCACGTGCCTAGAGCCCATGCTCCGCAACAAGAGAAGCCACTGCAATGAGAAGCCCACGCACTCTAGCATAGAGTAGACCCCACTCGCAGCAACTAAACAAAGCCCGCAAACAGCAGTGAAGACCCAATGTGGCCAAAAATAAAGTTATTTTAAAAAAAAAAATTGACAGTCTTTAATCCCAAAGCAAAAGTTTTCTGATGAAAACAGCCAGGGACTTGCCTGGCAGTCCAGTGGTTAAGACTCCATGCTTCCACTGTAGGGGGCACGGGTTTGATTTCTGGTTGGGGAACTAAGATCCTGCATGCTGCACGGCGCAGCCAAAGTAACAAAACCCGCCAAAAAATGTCTATGAAGTGTAGACTACCATCTATGTACTGGAGGAAATCCCGCATAAAATTTTGAGAGTTTCTGAAATAGTTACTCCGTTCTATCCAAAGCTTCATCACCCTTCTAGTGGTATAACAGAGTTGTGAATACTTAAGACATAAATAAAGCAGGTTTCGATGATGTAAAACAGTAATTGAAACAATTACTGATTTATCATCACCAGCTAATCCTCCCCTCTCCCTGGCGAAAGAAGTCAAAAAAATTTCTCCCCTTCAGTTTTCTTCACTTTTAATTCTACATTCAAGCTCAGATTGTCAAGCTCAGGCCTAGTATATAATTACAGTTAAAAAACCAAAACAGCTGTGCCCTAGCCCTGAACACCTATCCTATCTTCTGGCTTTTGCTAACTTTCACTTTGCTATCACTAAAGGATAACTTTCATGAAAATAGTGCGGCCCAACCTCCTGAAGTTCAATTAATCACATAGGGAGAATATATTTGAATTTATTTAGTTCACTTTATGTAGCCTGAATCCAATCCTGTTAACCACAAGTTCAGTAAGCTACACTTTTAAGGAGTATGATAGCAAAAAGGTCTTCAACATAAGTTAGTTGAAGAATACATTAAGACAGATGTATAAAAATAAGCCATTGTATATATAGCTTAAATTGCAGGTATCCATTCTCTATTCTACTTAATAAAAACAGTATTCCATCAATACCTATAAAAGTACACAAGTGCACTAGCAGAGGTGCTAATAAATGTATAAAAGCAAAAGTCATTAGGAATTAAATAGGGAAAAGGAAGTACAGAGGAGTATAGAAAAATGTAAGGCTCTTTATTCTCCCCCTCCCAAGTTAGCATTTTTGTTTTTTTAAATATTATTGGGGGCTTCCCTGGTGGCGCAGTGGTTGGGAGTCCACCTGCCGATGCAGAGGACACGGGTTCGTGCCCCGGTCCGGGAGCATCCCACATGCCACGGAGCGGCTGGGCCCGTGGGCCATGGCCGCTGAGCCTGTGCGTCTGGAGCCTGTGCTCCGCCATGGGAGAGGCCACAGCAGTGAGAGGCCCACGTACCGCAAAAAAAAAAAATATATATATATATTTATTTATATATAAATAAATATATTTTATATATATATTTATATATATACATATATATATATGTGTATATATATATATATATATAATTGAACTCCCAATCACTCCGTTTTTATCCCAGGAAAGGGAACCTCAGCTTTTTCTTGGCCTGTTGATCTCAGCAACACACATGCTAATGTCTTCAGGAACTAGTGGCCTTTACCAAAGGTAATATTAAGGTTGGTGTAAGAGAAAGAACCTTTTTATACCCTTTTATAAGTGTTTCATTATCTCAAGGGGGATAAAAGACACTGAAAAGGAAATATAAGTGGAATAGGGTTAAAGTCTTAATTGGTGATCTTAGAAAACTCATGGCAGACTGAAAACTACTAAAAAAAAGGATAAATTATCAAATAGCAGATTCATAGTAAGTTATGATAAACTGTAATTGAGGGGTTATATATTCCAAGTTTGAGCCAAACATGAACACCTGTAACATTTCCTTGACATATGACATAGCTCTCATGGCAATTCTCCCCAAAATGCAGTGGTTAGGTAAGGATTCAGCCACACTTACCTGGGTTTTGTTTTGGGTTTTTTTAGAGGATTACAAAACATTTATTTTTTTACTTTTTTGGCCACATCACACAGCATGGGGGATCTTAGCTCCCCGACCAGGGATCGAACCCACACTCCCTGCAGTGGAAGTACAGAGCCTTAACCACTGGCCTACCAGGGAGATCCCTGCCTGGATTTTAATACTGGCCTTACCACTTACTAGGTGTGTGATTTGGGAAAGTTTGTTTCCTTATCTGTAGAATAAGATTTAGTAGGGCTGCTTTGACAATTAAATCAGTTAATACTGGGTAAAACTCTTAGAACAATGACTGCCATCCTGTAGATGTTTGTTCAATCAAACAAACACTTAAGTTTATATTTACTCCTAAAATTCACTGAACCTCTCCCCAGTTCCCTTCCCAGACAAAGGACAAGGACCTTACCTGCATCATGTGCAGCAGCAGCAGGCCCTCGAACATCATCATAGGACTGCCCATCTGTGACAATTACCAGGAAGTTCTTGTTGGGGCTGTCCCTCATGGGACCAAACACATTTCTAACAGTAAAGGAAATGGCATCACCAGTAGCTGTCCCACCACTCATATAGCGGATGCTTCTGATAACGGCTAGGACATTCTCTTTGGTGCTATAGTCAGTGAAACTGAATTCTGTGCGCTGATCGTAGGTGAACTGTACGGCAGCTATCTTGGCACCAATGTCTGAGATTTCAAAAATCTTAGCTATGTTGGAAACAAATTCAAGAATGAGGCGGAAATTACTTTCTCCAACACTACTGGAGCCATCAATTAGAAAGGCAATGTTCACTGAGTTATAACAGGTCTTGCTGCACACCATTTGCTCATGAGTGCAGAGCTTCTGTACCAGAGGTTTTACGTATTTTGTGGTGCCAAACCAATTGGGCATGTAGTAAGAGAAGAAGCCATTACTCCGACAGACAGCCTAATGGGAGAGACACATAAAAAATAACCAAAGGAATCAAAAGTTGTTTCTTTAAAATTATGAAAACTTTAAATCTTGAATCTTCAAAGTTAATCCAGATATGGTCCAGTCAGCACTACGCCTAGAGGTCCCAAACTGAATCACTACTATAACAGAAGACACTCTCAACTCCATACCTTGTCAACAAATGCAACATCCTGAACCATTCCCAGTTCCTCAGGGATAGGCTTAGCCACAGAAACTATAAATACATTGACACCAAACTCTCTGGCCACAATGCCTGCTTCCTCAATGTCATCAGAAGGCCAGCCATCAATGAATACCACCACCACTTTGGGAATCCCTTTTCTCGCTCCAGTGTCTGCTGTGAAGAATTTCTGGGCGGTGTGCTTCAAGGCTTTTCCTAGGTTTGAAAAAGAAGCAAACTGGAATGGCACCACTGCTTAAAATGACACTTCTATTTCCCTGTACAAACTTGATGCCTCCAAGTTTAAGAATTTAACTTATATAGAACTCAGTTCTTTAACACGTGCATCAGATGGGAAAGTTTAATTATCCATCATGCCTATTTTTTGTCTTCACAACCCACATTTCTTCCATCACCTACCTCCCAGAGCGTTACATTTCCTTTCCTTACATCAATCACCAGTCAGAAACATAAACCTGACTCCCACCTCTGTACTTGTGCTCTCTATCTAGCCCCTTAGTGACTGACGAGTACCTCTACAGGCTCAGAACAAGAAGTCTCCCCTCAGAAGGTCCAGCATTCTATTTTAGTTCTTTCTGTCACATCTGCATTCATTAGATGAGTCTGTTGATCTTTGCTTCTTTTAAATATTCTAAACAGGTACTTCTCTAAAGTGACATCTGCCCTACCTGAGGATTATAAGTCACAACGTCTTATATTTTTTAAAATGAGCAATACCAATAAACCCTTTGGTACATTTTCCATTATAAATTAAATATCTCAGATATCAAGTGCAGACCTAACCAAGATCAGTGCCAGGAAGAAGAGTTTCACTTCTGCTTATATAAAATAGCATAATACTGTCTTACAAGTCTGATCATTCATAACCCTCTCTGTGTTACATCCCAGATGCCGAAGTCTACTTACCTGTATTGGTATTACCCCCTCTGAAACCTACTTCCTTTATGGCAAACAAAACATCTTTGGCTGATGTAAAGTTTTTCAAGTAAAATTCTATTTTGGGATGTTCACTAGGCAAAAAAGGGAAAAAATGTTATCCAGGGAGAATTGGAAATGTAAAACAAACAAGCAATATTATATACCTTAAAAAAAGTCTTTAAATTGGACAATACCTAAGTTTCTTAATTCCACAGCATACAGCCAACTAGGGTATATTGCATCCTTACTTGAATTTTTAGGGTTCTTTCAAAATATGTAACAAAAACAACTGCTACCTTGAGGGTTTATTGTATTCTGGGTAATATGCTAAATACATACTACATGTATAATCTCATTTCATCATAACTGTACAAGGTAGGAATTATTATCCCTATTACATAAATGGAGGCCCAGAACACCTAGGTAATTTACCCAACAAAACATAACCACATTTTAAATTCAGGTTTGTCTGGCTTCTAAACTATATGAAGCACCTGAAACCGGGTGGCTCAGGGCACTGGGCTTAATGGAAATCTGCAGAGATGGGCACCAGATAGTTGGAACATAGCTGGGGGTGAGTCTAGGTCTGCTTCAGTGGGGGACCTTGGAAGCCCTGAATAGTCTGGGTCTATTAACCCAGGTCTCTGGTCAGAAGAGGCAATTTCAGTGACACCAAGGCCAACATTTTTAAAATGAGAAAACTTACAAGGAAACAAATTATAAAGTATTATAATATTGAATTTTTCTTATGATAAATGATATTGACATTTGCTAATCTTACAATTATGTATATTTTAATAGATTTGGGATTTTTCATATTTAATAGTAAAAGAATTTCAGCTTTTATAACTTACTCTGTGTTCATTAGAGACCATGTTGAGTGAAAACAGTTAAAGCACAATTTTTGTGTTTAAAACTTTTAGATAAGTCAAAATTTCATCAGTGCAAAATTTTAAGATCTTAGCATTATCAATTGCCACTAAGTCAAGATTTCTGAAGGAAATAGCACTCATTGTATTTCTGCATACCTGGTGGCATGATTTCTGTATACTTGGTGTAATGGTTGGGTCACAAAATCAGTTTTCATGAGTCGATAACCTTTTCATTTTTATGGTCACTTTTCAACTATCCAAATTATTATTTATGAGATTTAGTCTTATTTTTGCATCCTTAATGAGACATTCTCTTATTCTACTTAAATATAAACTCTTGACATAGTTTATCTATTCTAATGTTCTTCCTAAAATAGAAAAATCATAAATCAGGAAGTTTATAAAGAAGCTAGTCTTTGTATGCGTCTACAAAGTAGTGTAGCTTTCCTCTTGAAAAAGAGTTAGGTAAAAACAGCAAAGAAAAAATATTAGAAGAAAAATATTGAGGGGAATTTGCCTTATGAGATGTTAAAATATACAATAAAGCTACAATAATCAAAGCATTGTAGAAAAGATGTTAGAATTAACATATGGATCAAAGAAACATTTGTCTAAAGTTATAAATTGATATCACAAATGAATGGAATAAGAAGCTCATTTTTTTAAGATATGGGACAATGGTTAAATTATGTATAAATCAACAAAGTTAATGATTCTTACACCAAAAAAAAATTCTAAGAACCAATTGTAAAAAACAAGATAAGAACAATAGAAATATAAATATTTGTAATCCTACTTGTGACACCCTTACACACAGCTGATAGTAGTTTAAACTGAATCAACTTTCTAGAAAGCAATTTAACTGTTTATTTCAGAAGCCTTAAAAATGTCAGAACCCGGGCTTCCCTGGTGGCGCAGTGGTTGAGAGTCCGCCTGCCGATGCAGAGGACACGGGTTCGTGCCCTGGACCGGGAGGATCCCACATGCCGCGGAGTGGCTAGGTCCGTGAGCCATGGCCGCTGAGCCTGTGCGTCCGGAGCCTGTGCTCCGCAACGGGAGAGGCCACAACAGTGAGAGGCCCGCGTGACACACACACACACACAAAAAAATGTCAGAACCCTTTGACCCAATCTCACTTCTGGGAATCTAGCCAAATGAATTTATCAGAGATGGCACAAGGATGACATAAGGATGCACAGTGTAATTGTGAAAAAAACAATAGAATGGTTAAATAAATCATGCTAAGGAACATTACAAAACATCATTTTTTGAAGAATATTTGTGATACTGAGCTCACAATGCTCAGTATTGTGAGCATCAGTATTTTGATATAATCTGAGCTTTTGATATAATCTGAGCTTTTGAAAAAGAAATACACACATATGTACCATCAAATATTTTCTTAAAATACTGAAAGGAAATACAACATTTTACATTGATTATCTCAGAGGGGTATATTTGGGAAATTTTTTTTCTTTGTGTTTTATATGTTTTTCAAGCTTTCTCTAATGAGCATATGATAATCCTAAAAGACATGAATAAACACTACTATACAATAAATAAAAGGTTAAGCTTCAGATTTCCAATCAAGGGAATATGGAAAGAGCTAAAAAGAATAATGACCAAATAGGAGAAATAAACATCACTGCTTCCTCCTTCAGGGAAGAGAAATTAGGAATTGAGCAGAGCAGATGTGCAGAAGTAATCTGTATGAGCAACAAGACTTTTAGCCTACCTTCTGGTCCTCAAATAGATAGCATATAATTCTCTAAATCCTTTTATTCCAAAAAGGAAGCACTTATACCTACCCAGTCTGCTCAGGCAGTCTTAAATTCTGACTTCATAATTTGGGAATCCAGACTGTCCACACCTCAATTTGTTTATATTGAACTGAAATGTATGTACCCACTAAAAGGACTGATCATTTTTCATCATTCAAGACATCATTCAAGTCTCCTCCCATTTTAACAAGGTTGGTACCTGGCTTGAACAAGGCCCACGTGTGGTCCTTCTGTTCCAATTCCTAACATTAGAGCCACTTTCCCAACAAAATTCTTCTGTAGATTAAATCGGCGTTGCCCGATATTAAAACTTCCATCGATCAGAAATGCAATGTCTGCTTTACAGTCTGTGAACACCCAAACAAGTCTTTCCATTAGTAGTTTCAAGAGAAGGGAGGGAGAGAGAGAAAATGTTATATTCCCAAATGGATATCCGGACTCTTACCCTTATTGCCAGTTTTCTTCTCCGGTGTTTTCTTTAGTCGTTTACCTGAAACAAAAAAAAGCACCTGGCATTAGCAAAAGGAAGACAGTTCCATAGAAAGAGACCCACAAGGGAAAAGCTCATGATAAGGAGCGTCATTCTTGAAAATACTTTTTAAAAAAAATAATTTCCTCATGATTTTCTGGACAAGGAAAGCAATGCCCCAACAAAAAAACAAGTCAGGACTGTAGTAGACCTACATATTTAATATGCCTCCAATCCAGGACTTTGATATCCCAAACCCACAGTTGAGGTAGGATTGGAAACTCAGAGTTAGATTCTAATGTTCTTCATTTCTTTGACTTTAAAATTGCCAGTCTTAGAAAGGGAGATCCCTGGCTATTTCTCAAATAGACACACACTCATTTCTTTTATTCATATGACAAATGGAACTAGAAGTTCATGGTACTTTTACTTAGACCAGTTTCTAGGCATAGTTTATCAAATCAGGGAGAAATGGTAGGACTTCAAGAGAATGTCTAGCAGTAGAGTTTATCAATGAAAATAAAAGAAGAATAAGTAATTTGAAATATAAAATTGAAAGTTTCCCTATACAATATACCAGTAAAGGTATTTGCTTTGTGTTTCAATATTTTAAAAAAGGAAAGCTTTTATCAATAACACTTATTTATAACTTCCTAATGCTGTGCCAGGCAACTAGGAGATAGGTTCCATATTTCATACCTATTGCTGGACGTGCTGTGGACACTGCTTGTCCTGTGGCTTCCTGGGTACCACTTTTGCCTTCTGTTAAAATAAAGAGAAGACTATTTTTTCCTCTTCCTTCCTTACCATCAAAGCATAATGAATCTAATTTAGGGTTCTATAGGATGATAAATGTAATAGAGTGATGGCAATTGCAAGAGTAATTGCTGCATGCTAGTTTCAAAGAACCAAAATGGATTCTCATCTATTGTATCGTATTTTTAAAAGATCACCATAAAATGAGTTCACATTCATTCACCCGTTTTTTTGAGTTAGGGTTATTTGGTAAATGTCAGGGCATTCTGATTGCAGGCAATTCAATTTTCTATTGCCATCTTCTGACAGCAAGATAATTTTCCTCCCATTTACCCAAGTTTGGCTTGAGTGTGTCCTTAACCCTTCGGATCCCCTGACTCTAACTCACAGTTGACCCTTCCAGTCTTGATCACAAGTTTTTCCATCAGAGTCAAAGAGGTTGAGCTGAGAAAAGCAGAAGACTTTTTGGGGGGTTGGGGAGACAATATTTACACAAAAGTAAGAACACTTTAATTGTACCTACTTGTCACTGTGAAAGAAGCAGACCATCTGGAAAGCGTCTGAGACTGGATGCCATTGGCAACTACTGAGGAATAGTTTTCTCGACCTGGTAGGCTATAGATTCTTACGGGTCCCCCTGAGTTGCTGATTACCCCCCTGCAACACAAGAATAACAGCTGAGACTCTATGCACACTTTTTCAGGGGCATTTGACTGACTTATATTGCCATACTGCACCTATTATTCTGATTAATCAAGAAAATAGTTCAGCAGGGAAGCCATCTAAGGATGCTGTCAACCTTTTTAAAAACTTGCTTACCCAGGTACAGAATCCACCTAGGGAAATGGTTTTGTGCTGTGAAACTTCTTAAGTGTTAATAAGGACACACTTGCAGTTTCCTGTTCCCTACAGCTCAGAGGATCAGAGTTAAGAGTGCCAAACAGTCTTCTAAAATACCCTAACTACATGTCCTTGAACTTCATTTTTTTTTTAAAAAAGTGTCATACTGGCCATTCTCTCACAGGACAGAAGAGTGGTGATGAATATGGGCTCTGGAGGCAGACCTGGGCTTTCAGCCCCAGCTCTGGCTCTTGCTAACAGTGGTGGCCTTGGGCAAGATACTTGACAACTCTCTGAATTCAGTTTCCTCATCTGTAAAATGGGGTAAAATTGTACCTACCTTGTACAGCTGTAGAGTCGTCGTGGAAGTTAAAATAATGGCTGTCATTCAGTAAAAACTCAGTAATATAGTACATGATTAGGAATGTTTTTAGAATCACAGGACTCTAGCTATCCAGAAATAATGCAATTTGCCTTTAGTCAGAAAGCTTCCCTTATGTAGTTGGTGACTCAAGGATATCCAGGAAAACCTTAAAAATGTATCCATCTTCTATGGCCAAAATTGGTACCAAAAGAAAGAAAAGGTGGGAGGGGGTGTCCAGATGGCTAAAGAGAAAGGGAAATAATCACACTTGCATTTCTCTCCCCTTGGCATGTTGGAGCTTACCTGTGGATGGCGGCACCACATATGCTTGATACAGAAGCATATACTATGTTCCCAAACACGGAGAATTCCTCCAGAGGGCAACCCCCTGGACAGAGCACATCTGCTTTTTCTTTCCTGATGTCCAGGCCTCTGGTAAAGCATGTGATAGCGATGGGAACTGAAGAGAAAGGAGAGAAGCAAAAACCATTCTTAGGACATTTAGGGAAGTGGTGGTGGGGGAACTAGAATATGAGATTGAAAGTTTACTTCCCTAATTTCTACACTTCTTGTTAAGAATATTGATGTAGGTACTGTTCCACACCATTCCAGATTTTAGCAAGCCAAAAGTCAGTTTTCCAATTTAATCTAGTTCTCAGACACTGTAAAGTCTAATGGGAGAATTTTAGTTCTTATCAGTTTGGAGATACATAATTGGAAATATATCAGAATTAGAAAATAACATTAGTCACTGACCATTTATTAAATTCATTCTAGAAATATAAGAACCTCAACTCTGATTACAACTGTGTACATAGTTGCCTGAGGTGAAGATCTTAAATCTGGGTTGAACCTCTGAGGAACATTTTTATAGAAACATGCACAAATCTAAGTCATCCGTTGCTTCTGAGGGCCATTTATATCAGTTTTCTTCAAATGCAGCGCATTAAAATTATATTTTAATTTAAGCAAACCAGTAAAAAGGTGCTTCACTTTACAGAACGTCATTTAGCTCAATCATTCATTTTTCAGCTGAAGTAATTAAAGCCATGGGGTTATTTTGCCCAAGGTCACACAGCCCAAGGAAAATTCTGTAACTCCTGCAGGACAGGAAACAGAGAAGTTAGTCCATTCAGAATGGAGCATTTTAATCTGAATTGAACCTGCTTATTTCCACTCCAGATCTGTCCAGAGAGATATATCAGGCAGTGAATGCAGTTTTAGAAAGCACTGTTAATACTCTCAAGTTTTACATGGTCAACCTGACTAATAATCATAGCTTTTACTACAAAAGATGTTACAGACAAGCCCTTGGCAACATGTAACAAGATAACTTAATACAACATATTAATTCATCAATTTACTGTGACTATTAAATTGAGGATAATGGTTTTAAATACCATTTTCCAAACACTGGAAATTGTGGTTATCCAAACCTTTTTGAAACAGATGTTTTCCAAACGTTTTTGAAACAGATGTTAATCATTAAAAAAATTTTTTTTTCTTTTTCCAAGACAGTAGTGCTGTCTGGTCATACTGCCCCACTGAGAAGCCTGCCTCTTGCAAGGACCCTCTTCTAAGAGCCCTCTGTGCCCAGCCCTGGACTGTACACCTCCATGGAAAGGAAGGCAGGACGCCATGAAAGGTACAATGCTGATTCCTTAGCTCTGAAACACTCTAGATTGCTGGGCAAGCTAAAATCCTTACCAAGAACAGTAGCCTCATACCTATGAGCTTCATACCTGTTAGCAAACAGCCTTAATTTTCCTCCCATTTTCGAGGCACCAGAGGCTCTGCCTTTAGCTGCCAACACTGACTTTAGTGTGTGTTTGTGTGAGGGGGCACTGAATACAGCCCTTTGCAATACTTACCTTCCTTTCTCCTTTCAAGAAAAATAAAGGATAGATTTTGAAAAAGAGTTTGATTTTTATGTTGTATAAAACACACCGAACCACACACCCTTACTCGGACTTCTACGTGTGGAACACACTCCTTTTAGACTCTCTCGAATATGAAATGGACCCGTAAATGCTGCCTTTATTTTTATTTTTATTTTTTTATAGGGGTCATTCCTGGAAACACAGCGAGGGGGTCAAACAAGATGGGACAACGACGTAAGCCTCTCTTTCACTCCCGAAGTCTCTCTCTGTCTCTCTTACAGTCTGAAGGCCTCTCCCTGACCCCAAACTCCGCGGAACACCCGGGACTACGGCGCTCCTCAGTGGGGCTCAACGAACACCCCCCACTTCTGCTGCCGCTGCTCGGCTTGCTGGGGGGAGAGGAAGCTCCGGGGTTGTGGGTGTGGATGGGGGGAGGCTTCCTTCTCCGCACCTTGTGAAGAACGTCCCCATCGGACCCCAGGATCCCCTTCCCCAGGGAGAAATGGGTAAGCCGGAGTAGATGGGCTGTAGGTATGAATGGGGTGCGCCAGTTCCAACCTTCGCACCCTTATAGCTCCAGCCCCCGGCCAAGGCCCAGGGGCTCCATCTGAGTGCGTTCCTACGCGCTGGCCCGCAGCCCCTCGCAACCCCCGGACAGAGCCCTGCTCCCGGACCCGGGAACCCGCAACTCACCGGCTCCCTCGCTGCCCGCGGTCTCTGGAAGCAGCAGCAGCAGACAGACACCTGCGAAGAGAGGACAGCTCGAGGGCTGGTTCCAGCCTCCACCTCCACCTTGCTTGGTGCGAGGGGAAGAGGGCGGCGAGGGGCGCGTACCCACCAAGGCAGAGAACCGGGATCCAGGCTGCAGACATGGTAGCCTAGGGGCTGCTCGGACCTGGGAGGGAGGGAGAATGCAAGGGAGGCTCCCCGAGAACGGAGACCCCTACGTCCCCACCACACCGCGCCCGCCCCCCGCCCCCTCAGGGATCCCGCACCCCTTGGAAACCCAGGGGCGGCCGAGGAGAGGAGACCGAAGAGGCCGCTGCCCGGGAGCTCGTGCCACTCTCAGTCTGGAGGCGACGCTCCGGCTGCAAATCAAGCCAAACCCAGAGTCGAGGTGCAACCCCGGACCAGGAGGAGGGTGCACCCTGAAGACAGACAGACAAGCTGGGAGCGACAAAGCGGAGGCACGAACAGGCAGGCGTCAGGGACCCGCACGCCCGCGCCGGACGCCGGGGACTCTGCACCTGAGTCGAATCTGCCCGGCTGCGCCCGAGTGCGGAAAGCGCGGCTCCCACGGCCGCTATAAAGGCTGGGCCGCGCGCATGAGCACTGTGCGGGGGGCGCGCGCGGAGAGGGGGCTGGGAGCTGGTCCCCCGGGACCGGGCGGCGGCCGTCCAGCTCCGCCCTCACCCCCTCTCCGTCCCGGGGTGAGGCCGCGCCGAGGCGCCACCCCCGCGGCGCGGGACTCGGCCACCTGGATGCCGTGTCCGTCCCCGGGGGAGACGCGAAAGCCCGGGGGAGGGCCGGGGACCTCGCCGGCCCCGGCGTCAGGGGAGCCAGGACGAGTGTAGGGCGGCGGCGGGAGCGCGCGGGGAGGTTGCCCGACGTGCGGCGACCGGGCGTGGCTGCCCGAGGGAGCCGGCCTCACCCGGGCTGGGGAGTGGTGGTTCCCCGCGCACCGTCCCCGCGGCGGGAGCTGCGGCGCCGGGAACGCGGGGCCCCGGAGAGCTACCAGGTACACGCGGCCTCAGAACAAACTTCCCAAATCTGTGCTCCCGTTGAAACAAAGTTCGTACTTCTGAAGTCACGCCAACCTGGGTTGGATAAACGCATGCCCTGTATTTGTTAGAAACCCCATCAGCGGACTGGTTTTTCTTCGGATTTTAGGGATCCAGCCTTCCGACTTTGTTTCTGCCACGGTCGGATTTTCCCCGGGGGCTCCATTTACTGTCATGGGTAGGGCCACGCTTGGGAGGTGGCCCGGACCCTTCTTTACATTTGCCTTTTCTTCTTTTCTAGATCAGGAAGGATTTATGACTGCCTTTCCAAACTCCCAGACCTGGTGTCTGTTGGGATTGCACAGATCTCAGATGTGGTAATATGCTCTTCCACCCCTCTCTTTCTCTCTCATCCTGGTAAATTTTCACATGAGGAAACGGGAGAAAGCAGACTTCACGTGGAGTGTAAAGTGACACAGGACCTGCAAGGCAGCTGAGGAACCACCCCCAGACGCAGGAGAGGGGGCACGATTTCGTTTTTTAAAAGTTTTATTTAGTCCAAAGAATAGGATTTTAGTTAGGTCTAAAGAATAACCAATAATTTATATACCGTAAAATCCATCCCTTTTCAGTGATTTCCACGATTTTTAGTACGTATACAGAGTTACGCAGCCATCACCACAATCCAATTTTAGGACACTTCCAGCACCCCCAAAAGGATCCCTTCTGGCCATTAGCAGCCAATCCCTTTTCCCGCCCTCAGCCCTAGGCAACACCAACGTAATTCCGTCTCTAAAGATTTGTTTTTTATGGATATTTCATATAAATGGAATGATACAATATGTGGCTTCTTTTACTGAGCATAATGTTTTTAAGTTTCATTCATGTTGTAACATGAATGAGTTCTTCCTTCCTTTTTATTGCTGAATAGTATTCCTATACGTTTTATGTTAGGAAGGAAACATACCACCACCACCTGGAAGCCAAATATGGTAGTGGTTTTACAACTATCCTTTCAATCTGGAATGAGTCAGTATTGCACCAGGCAACTGCGGAGGGGCGGTCCGGCCGTGTTGATTTCATTCCCTTTACTATCTGAATGTCTTTTGGAGAGAAAGAGACTGAATAACATTTGTCGACCAGGAGGTTTTCGATTCTTATTTTCATGGCTGCCTTAAAGATTTAATCCCTCTCATGGTAGAGAGAGTTGCCCTTTTCTTAGAAACCCAGCAATGTAGCCACCACCCCTGATATTTTCCTTGGGAGAAATGTTAGGCCTTCAGGACCGTTAAAGCTGTCTTTATCATTATTGCTTGCTGCGTGTCCTCAGTCAGGTTTGGATAACCTCCTCCAATTAGGCTGGGCAAATTGTAGTGATGCTATATAATTAGGGAGAGTTCACCTGCAGGAAAAAGGCTAGCACTCCACAGCTCAACCCAAATGGCTAAAAGGTGCTGCTCTTCAGAACTCCCACAAGGCTCAGCCCTCCTGTGATGTAATTTCACCGAGCCATTTAGCAGAGTCAGAACTATGCAGCTATTTCCATCGTTGACCCTGAGTCTGTGACTATTAAAAAATAAAGGAAATACCTCACTGAGTTTCATTGGTTGTTTACCCAAAGATACAGTTCAATTATTTTGTTTTGAAACATTTAAGAAAAGTTAGTCTTTATTTTTCTAGTTTGAAAGACTAACCATGTGGAGTGGGGATGAGATTTCTCATTCTCACTTAGTTTGTATCTCAGGCTCACCATAAGCATATTGAGAAAAAAAATATCTGAACTTAAGTGGTAGTTGCTTCTGCTGTGGAAACATCTGAAGAAGAGACGGAAAGTCAAATAAATCTGGGTACGATTGACTTAAAAAGACAAATTGTTAAAATTATAGTTTTGTATTCAACTGGATAACATTTCAGGGTATTGTACTTCTAGGATGCCTAGTTAGTTTATCCTGCTTTATATAAGAGTATTTGATATTCAAATTTTAGACTAACTCTCTGTAGAGTGGTGGATTCCTAACTGGGCTGCACAATGGAATCACCTGGGGAGCTTTAAAAAGTACTGAATCCTGTTGGTGCAGTGGTTGAGAGTCCGCCTGCCGATGCAGGGGACACGGGTTCGTGCCCCGGTCCAGGAAGATCCCCACATGCCGTGGAGCGGCTGGGCCCGTAAGCCATGGCCGCTGAGCCTGCGCTCCGGAGCCTGTGCTCCACAACGGGAGAGGCCACAACAGTGAGAGGCCCGCGTACCACAAAAAAAAAAAAAAAAAAAAGTACTGAATCCTGAGTCCCACCCCAGAGATTCTAATGTAATTGGTCTGGGTCAGGGCCAGGGCGTTAGAATTTTTTAAAGCTCTCCAGGTGATTCTAATGTATTGCCCAGAGGGCCTAATACTTAGGTCAATGTTAGAGGTTAAACGAATAATTCTAATTTTTCATTCTTCTTTCATTATCTTTTCATTAAAATTCCACCTTTTCATTAAAATTCCAGTGCCTACTGCATTCCCCTGTTAAAACATGGAAGCATCTTCTGGCCTGATGGCTCTTTGAAAACGATCCTTAACAGAAAGATTGTAAACTCATTTTCAAAAGCAATTTTCCCTGAGTGTAGTGTCTGATCACATTTCTAACTTTGTGCAGAATGGGCTGGCATTGGGAAGGGAGTGGGCTGCCTCTCAAACTGATACCCTAGGTGGCATTTTCAAGCTTTAGGATGAGGCTGAAAAGAGTTTCTCAAGAATAGTCGGGTTCTCTGAGTGGACTTGGCTCATTGTCTATGTAGATAACCTCTAGTTTATGGATCCCCTCTCTTCTGTTTTTATCTAAGTATGAATCTGGTGTTACCCAGAAGTTTTTATGTTTTTGTTGTTGGTATTTTGTTTTTATTTTTTAAAGGAATATCAGTCCTGTCCCATGCCCTATACCTTTAACCTCCCCTGCAAACTGTTACTTAGCTAATGCAATGCATAGTGATTTGATTTTATTTTGGTTATGGTGATCTTAAAGTGAGTTTGTTCCCTTTTAGGAAGTGTATGTTTGTCCTGCAGTATCCCATAAGTCTCTATGATTAGTTATAGAGCATAATCAGTTTGTAAACTCCTATCACCTATGTTATTTGACCCACATTGATGTTTATTTTGTATCCATTTTTCCTGCTCAATTCCTTTCCATTGTTCACATGTGATAAAGTGAGTATGTACATCTAGCCTTTCAGTTTTTGATGATTTCTAGCAATAGAATAAATGTTCACAGCCTCTGAGGAGTGAATATTAAAAAGTTGACTCAGAGATAGGCTTATGACCACGAGCAATCACTTCCTTTTTTTGGGCCTTAGTTGCCTTTCCTATAAAGTCAAGGAGACTAGACCAAGTGATTGGAAGGGACCTCTGACTGGCTGAATTCTGTGGCTGGGCAGTTGCTCCCTGGGCACATATAGCCTTCAAGGGCTGTGCTGTTTCTGGGGTTTGGAAACCTTAGGAAACACTGGCTGTGCCAACTACCTCCCAGCACTCATCCCTTCTTATGGAAGGTCTCTTGCTATTCACCTCTCACTGCTAAACCGTGGCCTGGATCATGTTTGCCCCTTTGTTACCAAGAAATAACGGAGGTCACATTGCCACCGGAATGCCACCGGAATGCCTTCCTAAGCGAGGAAAGCTGTGACAGGGAACATAAATTCATTGTATAGGCCCAGCACACGTCCCATGCAAGCTCCTGAAGGTGAAGGATCTTTCTCTCGTGTTCATCACTGCACCTCTAGTCCCCAGTGAAGTGTCTAGCACATAATAGGTACTCAAGAAATATTTGTTAAATGAATGAGTCAATCCCATTGTCTTGTCATTTGCTATATTGTTTTTTAAAAAGTTAACTTTTGGGACTTCCCTGGTGGCGCAGTGGTTGAGAGTCTGCTTTCCGATGCAGCGGACGCGGGTTCGTGCCCCGGTCCGGGAAGATCCCACATGCCGCGGAACAGCTGGGCCCGTGAGCCATGGCCGCTGAGCCTGTGCGTCCGGAGCAAAAAAGTTAACTTTTGAACAGCTTTAGGTTTATAGAAACATCGATAAGATAGTAGAGTTCCCATATACCCTACATCCAGTTTCCCCTGTTAACATCTTACGTTAGTATGGCACAGTTGTCACAATTCATGAACCAATACTGACACATTTTTTAAAATAAATTTATTTATTTATTTATTTTTGGCTGCATTGGGTCTTCGTTGCAGTGCACGGGCTTCTCATTGCGGTGGCTGCTCTCGTTGCGGGGCAGGGGCTCTAGGCATGCAGGCTTCAGTAGTTGAGGCATGTGAGTTCAGTAGTTGTGACGCACAGGCTTAGTTGCTCCATGGCATGTGGGATCTTCGCAGACCAGGGATCAAACCTGTGTCCCCTGCACTGGCAGGCGGATTCTTAGCCACTGCACCACCAGGGAAGTCCCAATACTGACACATTAACTAAAGTCCATATTTTCCGCAGATTTCCTTAGTGTTTACCTAATACCCTTTTTCTCTTCCAGGATCCTATCCAGGATACTGCATAACATTTAGTCAGC